GAGCCGGAGAGCGGGCTGGAGGAGTGCCTCGGTTAGAAAAGCCAAGCGCACAGACGAAACTCTGTCCGAGAATGACCGATACGGGTGAGGAATCACAGTTCTGGTCCAACATCCGCCAATATCCACCAACATCCAGATGTTTATTATTCATTTTTTTAACTTTCCGTTGGTCCATTGGTCCCTCATGTTTGAGGGGAAATTCAGTATGTTGAAGCAGCATGGTTTTCTCAGCGACGTTGCTGGTGCTTCACCTCTGTCAGATGGTGCTTTCTTTTCGGCTTTCCCTCGATATGGATGGTGGGGGGGATCCTCAGATTTCTGCAAAACCTTGAAAAACTAGAGCAAACGGTTTGGACATGGAAGGCTACGTTTGACCCCACCCTTTAATGTCCTTTGGTCCTTTAACCGTTCAACATCTGCGAGAAGGCTGACATGTGGGAACACGCGAATCTTTTCAGCAATATTTCCCAACAGTCTGAGCCAAGGCTGGATTTGGAGATAGCTTGCGTTCTTTTCGCTCGATTTCTTTGCTGCAAATGCTTTCCGCCGCATCGCACACCCATGGTGTGAAACAAGCGCCCGAGGTGTGAAGTGGCCACCCCATCGACGCGCAAAGGGATGGCCTCCAGGCGCGTCGTCCCGAAGTGGAGGAGGACGAGGACGACCCTTCAGGGGGTTGGGGAAGCTGCTTTTTCGGAAGGTCTGGATGAAAGGGTAAAGACATGGTCGACCTTTGGAAAGGCATGAAGAAGAAGGAGCTTTGCATGGGTTCGTCTCATTCCCCCGGAAAGCGTCGGTATGGAGATGCAGCCACATCTAAATACATCTAACACGTTCTAACACCTCGAGTTGTAGACACTGGAAGAATAGGCGTCCAGGACCCCAAGGGTTGAGGGCTTTGCAAGGGTCAGCCGTGTTTCTGGGTGTACAGTACTTTGGTACACTCACCAGTTGGATCCTTTTCACGTGAACAGGCGGAGAGGGACCAAGCAGGTCAAGCAAACTAATAAAGTTGGAATCAACGCATCTAAAACGGATGCACGGAGAGAACGGAGATGCTGATCTTCACTGAACAACTCGGGCAGCTCAAGATATCAAGTGAACATTTCGCAGTAGCTTCCTGGAAGGGTAATATGATGTTTCTTCTGAGCTCCTTACAGAGCTCCACCATGTTGGAAGACCAGATGTGTGCAGGATTTGCTTGCCTGGTGTATACTTGGATGCCCGAACTTCTGCGGTTTTTCGGACCTTGATCTGTGATGGTGTTTCTTGGGCGTATCGTTTGTGCCAAATCTTGACCATCGTTTCGTGAGACGAACTTGTTCTGATGTTTTGCACCTGCGGCACGGCACCTGCGGCACGGCACCATCGCCATTGACCGGACCTGATTTCTCAGAAGAACATCGAGGAAGAAAGGGTGTGTATTTGGCCACTTGAGGGAACACCTCTCTTCGCAAGCACGGACTGGACCACTTTTGCAGGTCACCGTCACACAGAGCGGAGGCACGACCACATTGGATTGACGTTATGCAGAGTTGAATGTTTCTTAACCGGTTTCCTGTAAGATGTCTTACACCAAGCAAATATACTGGTTTTGGAGTTAAACCACCGTCCTGGAGGATGTTCGCAGTCAAACAACCCTACATCATCCTTGATTTCGCTCCTTTTCAAGGAGAAAATTCCTTTCTAAGAGTCATGTCGGATGCGGAGAAAAAGAATCTCTACCTCCCCAGCCCTAAGAATCAGGGACACCACGGAATCACCGTTGATTCTTTTTCAAAAAGAGTGAGTTGCTTCTTTCCCACCTGTTTGGGCCGAAGTCAGTTCTGAAGCAAGTCAAGATTGGGGTAAGTTCTCCACACCTGTGTGCAACAGACCATGGGGTTTTCTCATTTTCGTCGACCAGATCTTTGGGTGGATGCCCACAAGACACGTTTTCAGTGCTGCTGTTTGACGAAGAACCGCATTGCGCATGATGAGCATGGGCCTCTACCTGTGCAGCATCGCGCACCGAGCTTGTATCTCTGCAGCCATTTAATCTCTCCACAGTCTAAAGCACTTGAATCAGCCAAGGTCGCGAACACAGCAACACTTTGACAATTATAGTCCCCTCAACATACCGCTACCACTCGTTTTACTTGGGCCACTCAGATTTTATGATTGAACATAATCTTCCTTGGACTCTATTGCAGTGTTTGGCATTCGGGAACAATCCTTACCCTGCCACCATTAATTAAGCAGAATGGCTTCAAGGTTTCAAGGAGTGTCAGGCTGCCTAATTTGGTGACTTTCAGCACCTCTTTAGTTTATCGACATACGATGATGTTGCATATGCCTTCGGATACTTTTGGATCATCCTGATGCTGGAGTGCGCACAAGGATCTGAGATGATCACCTTCGGATAACAAGGGCACCACAGAAAAAAACACATGCATCACCTCATCTTTCTGCGGGTCGATGATGATGTCAAAAAGCTACTGAGAATCCATCGCCGCCAATTGGTCCAACCTTTCAAATCCAACTGTTGGAGATCCTTTTTTTAGCGGCAAAAGGGCGCACACCGGAAGCAACCCCTTTGGTCGTCGCAGCGGCACGGGCGCACCGCAGCGTTCCTTTCGTCTCTGTCGCCATGAAGCTGGATGTGGGGGCACCTCAGAGACTGGCATGTGTTTCGGAGACTGGCAGATCAACATGTGTTTGCGTGAAGGTTTGAGACGGGGTCATGTGGTGAATATGAATATGTATTTGGCGACAGTATAGAAATACAATTGAATACATGGCTATGCAATGCTATGCATCAGATACATGGTCAGATACACTATGATACACTTGAGAAGGATCCTGCCGGGGTTGGCAGTAACATCACCCCATATCACCCCTCGGACTTTTGTTGTCGGAACGAGTTCTCCATGCAGGTGACCATGTTCCGGTACATCACCAAAGAGGAGTTCCGTGTGCTCACAGCGGTAGAGATGGGAATGAGGCCTGGAAGCAACCCACATGCAAAGGAGCGTTGTCACTTTGCGAAGCTAAGGGAAAACAGGGATAGGGCAATTTGAGGGTGTTGGATGGGATAGTCGTAAACAACTACAACGACAAATAATTACAACAACTACAACTGCAACTACAACTACAACTACTACCACTACTACTCCTACTCCTACTACTACTACTACTACCACCACCTACTACTACTACTACCACCACCACCTCCTACGACTACTACTACTACTACTACTACTACTACTACTACCCATGCCCATCATCACCCAAACCAAGCCCCTCAGAACTAAGTTGCTGCACGAGGTGAAACTAACGAGGCGAGGCAATATTTTCCAAACCGTTTATAGCGATGCGAGGTGCTAAACCCCGGGATGCAAATTCCAAAGCAAGGGACACGAGGTAAGAATGTGGGTGTGGTGGACGTTGGAGCACACCCAGCAAACTTGCCACTAGTCCTACTCCTCACCTCCTCAAGTAAGGTTGGCCAAGGTTAGACAAGGTTGGCCCAGTGACGGCCAGTATTGTTCCCCTTCTAGCTAGTCAGGCTTTGACTGGTGCACCATAAGAACCTTGGGAAGATGGATCAACGGAGGATCAGTTTGTTGCAAGATTCTCTTGAAATTCTTTGAGCTCCGGAACCCCAAATACCAATACAACAAACATAACAACACTTGTTCCCCGCAGGAACCCTTCAGAACAACATGGTTGCGCACTGGACTTTACTAGTAGCAGAATCGTTTTTTGTTTCAGAATTTCCTCGTTGGAGAGGCTGCGTCTTTTACCCTCTCCAATTTGCCAGGAATCATGAACACGTGCCAGCACCATTGATCGAGAACATCTCCAAGCTCAGTGGGCGGCCCCTGCGACCGCCAAACGACTGGGGTGCTCATGTGTCCATCCTGACTCGTTATTTGGAATCCCACGGGAACAGTGGGACAGGGGAAAAGAATCACTCACCATTCTCAATAACTTTAGTGCAAACTCAATGATCCCTGAGGCAAGAAACTGCACCAAGAAGGGTTTGCAAGGTCAAGAAGAGGCAGTCCACCACAAGGTTTCACCCAAGCGACTTCGTGCACAGCGGATGATCAGCAAAGGAGCAGAAACCAGTAACCCACTCAACCTGGAGGTGCCCGCAGTTGTTACCCAGACTTGCTCATGAGGGAAGTCTGTGCACATGCAAGCGCATGGAACAGTTCAGTCATTGTTTGGGCAGTTTGGTCATTGCACCCATATCTAGTACCTCGATGTAAGAGTAATTTGGATTGAAATGCAGAAATGCCTTTATCAAGTGACGTCTCCTTGAAACTCTTCAGAACTTGCCAAAACAACTTGCAGATCTTGCAGTTTGGGTCTCCCAACCTCTCCCAACCTCTCTCCAGGTCGGAGCCTTTGCTACAAGACTCTGCAGACCTTGCTGCGGAACAAGCGCCTCGGACCTTCGGACGCGCTCCGTCGCTCCGTTGCCCGCCTCGGTCCAATCCGCTCGGCTCCACCGAAGCCGATTGGGTCGGGCGAACCGAGGCTGGTGGGGCATGATGGTGCGGAGCTCGGTAAGAGCTCGGCATGAGCTCGGCATGGCCTTCTGGTCGGAGAGGAACTCCACCAACTGGAGGAGAACGGCTCAAAATGGTCCAAGGAGTAGGGCAAGAGGGTGCCATACTGGTTGATATGGTGTTCTTTTGGATTGACCATCAGCAGGTTTCTATTGAAAAAGGATGACAAAAGACCATCATGATTTGCCATCAAAATCCACACACTGCCCTTCCAAAGGGTAAATCTGTCGAGCTGTGTGCGGTGATTTTACAAGCCAAATCATGGGTTTGTCTGTAGGTTTTACCGAAGCCCAGCTCAGCTGTGACTTGAATAATCACAACATGTTATCCGGAGAGATGACACGGGATGAAACGATTCTTAAGGTCTTATATATTTTAACCGTTATGTTTTTTATTCCTTCGTCCTTCGATGTCGATCAATGTCGTTTTTTTCTTTTATCGATGACGCAGGTGACTGATGTCGGTGATTTGGGGGATCACCAGCCTCGTGGCCAGAGGGGCTGTCGGAGGTCTCACGGCCAGAGGTGCCTGCGAAACACCCAAGGCCAAAGCTACGATGGTTGGCGGCTCACCTACCACGGCTATGACTTCCTGGCCCTTCGGGTGTCCTGCCTGCGAACGGAATTCTGATTGTTAGACATGCCTGACACCAGGCAGCTATAAGGAGGGGTGAACTCCCAGTAGACTGTGTGGTTGACCTAATATACTGCACTCACTCTGTGTCGTTTGCCAGCACATACCGGCTTTTCTACACGAGGAAGGACACCCCTGCAGTGGCAGAATCCTTGGACAGGCTCCGGGACATATCGTCCAGGTCTCTAGAAGCAAAAAGGGCCTCCACCAAAGCTGGGAGCTTGTGTCCCTCCACCGGGGTTTTGCTGCGGCCCAGGCCTTTGGGGTCCTTCGCGACGCCCGCGCGAAGCTGAGGCCCTGGCGGCTCGCGGCACCATCACGGCCGTGGGGCGGCGCTTGGGCGTCGGGGGGGTCTCAGAGATCGTGGGGAGGAAGGCAGGTGTGATCGCGGATCAATCTCCTAGTGGATTTTCCATGATCTTGTACAGACTGAGAACTCACATCCAGAGATTCCCTTGTCACTGGTTTTTATCATGTTTGATCCATATTCTGAAGTTGCCATTCAAAGAGTTGTTGGCCACTGGGCCGGGGTCCTTGTCCCAGGTGCCTTTGAGGACTTCTCCAGCGTTTGCTCTGTTTTGTTTTCGCCCAACGGAATGAGTCCGGTCTTTTGCTGCTTTCGCTGGTCGTTCGTGCCTCAAAATGGCTCACTGAACCGAACACCTAGCGCTCTACGCGTCCAAAAACCATCAAAACGCGCTCCCCACTCTTGGGACGCCAACATCTGACAACAGGACCTTAAGATCCATTTCAGCTGCAACGATTTCTTTGGGTGACTGTGGAAATGAAGGACAGCTGGGCCAGTGTCAAGTAGATGGGCAGGAGCTCGATGCGTTTTCAAGCCAAGTTTGTTAAAACCATCGCCAATGACTGTTGAGCCAAGCCGTGATGAAGCTGCCTGCGTGCATTTCACACCTTTGAGACGATTTGAGACGCCCATTGATGCAAAGGTGGGCAAAGAGAGTGACGTGCACTACGCTCAGGTGCGGGTGGAAGCATGCATGCTCATTGGGCCCAAATGGTCTCAGTTTCTGTGGCGTCCAGCCCTTAGGCCTTTCAATGTAGATACCCTTTCCTTCTTTCATCGAACACATGCAGCAAGGCTGCACGGCTTCCAGGTCATCATGATAAACATGGTCGCCACCTCTTCTTCATTGTCCAGTTCATGTTGTCCTCCAGCTCTTCTTCTTGGAGCCCTGATGACCTCCAACATCCGACCGCGGCTTCCGACCTCCAGGGCCCTGATGGTGAATTGGTGGCCTTGAAGCTGCATCGGCTCGGCTCGGGGCCCGGCAGAGGGCGCCTGGCGCAGAGGATAGATGGCGTGAGGGCGAGCATGGCTGAAGTCAGCGAATTGGCTGAAGTCTTGGAAGACCCCGGCAGCCGGACCCCTGAGAAGGGGCCCAAAATAGAAAGCAATAGAAAAGACACGACACGACCCAATGGTTGAGTTGAAGGGTTTCCCTAGATTGAACATGATTGAACATTTCCACTTCGATCTTGAGCTTCCGATCCACTGGGCTTCCGTCAAGGTCATCCGATCGCCCAAACCGGCCCAAACGGGTGGAGCCAGCCGAGTGGCCAGGTCGAATCAGCTTCCGGGCCATCAAAGAGAAGCGCGACTACCTGAGGCCATTCGACAGACCGGGTAAGACGACTTCCCTGTGAGATGTTTTCGTGCAGTCACGAATTGCTAACGAAAACACTTCTGATCTCTTCAAGGTCAGGTTATCCTGGTGCTGTTCAAACCTTGTCTTTTCACATGTTTATTGTATACCTGGAACCCATTTGACCTTTGTTTTGATAGGAAAAGGCCATATTTTGGGTGGTTGGTGATCCAAAATAGAGGTCATTCAGGTTCTAGGTATATATACTATATATGTACTTAGTCTTTTGTACCACGTTTCACACGTTCGCCCTTCTGGACAGGCACCGCGTCCATGCGAGCTGGATGTACATGGCGAAGTTGGCCGCTGCCAAGGAGTTCGCATACATGAAGGCTTTGAAGGCGCTGAAATCGATCGAATCGATGGGAGCGATGGAGAGAACAGCGCAGCTTCGTGCTGCTGCCTGGGCGGGCTCCGTGCTGGGCAGCGCCTTCAGAGTGAGATGAAGATGGAACGGTCACGTCCCACTTCCCCTCATTGGTAGATGGAACAGTAGAAGGCTGAACTGGACTGGACTTGATTGTTTAAACTTTATCTTGGGATTCTTGGGATCAATGATTCTGCGACGAAGACCCCTTCAGAGACCAATGGAACCATCCTCATCACCTGCCAGCAGCTTTCATTTGGCTTCAAATTCCACACTGCTTGGCCTGGCTGATTCTTAGACAGAAGGCTTTGGAAGACCATGAACACAGTTCACCAGGTCACCATGTGACTCCTGCTCTGATTCTCGAAGTCCTCAGCTTTTCTCTTGGACCATCAGGAGGTTCAACAGCACGTTCTTTGGTTCTTTTCGAAGCAACGCCAGGATGAGGGCTTCCCAGTCCCCAGCCCCATCGATCAGAACCGGCACGTGGTGGTGATGTCCTTTGTGCCTCGGCGGCAGGTCTGACCATTCGTCCGTTCGTCGCCTCCGATCGGAAAGTCCTCCGAGTACAGTCGAGGTCCTCCGAGTTCGGATTCCACCGGTGGGATGCACCCCCTTTTTCATCCCTTTTTTCATCCCTTTTTCCGTGTTTCATCCCGCGATTCTCGTTGGGATTTGTGGCGAAACTGGGAGGGGGAAGCTACTGGTACCTGGTGCGAGGATCTACCCGTACTGATGAGGAATGAGGAGGGAAACATGGTGCCCTTGTCACTTGTGCACATGATGCAAACAACAGCGGCACTCCAACAACTCCCTCAAATGTAGAGGCTGCAGGCTCAATCTACACAATGGATCACAATGGCAGGTTTGAGGATCGCATCTGCTGGGGCAGACTCTGGTAGACTCTGAAGAAAGCTACTTTTGCATCAATCAACCAATCCATCGTCAAATTAGCCTTGTCCCAAAAGAGGCCTTCTTCGCACAATCAAAAACCAGCTTCGTTGGTTCTTTGCCGCGGTTCACCTGATCCTCCACGGAGAACGCCGCCGGAGAAGTCTGGACAACGCCACGGACAAAGGTGCACGCCACACCACTCTTCCAGATCCGCAGCCTGCAACATCCTCACCAGGTGCTTCCTGCGCGCGTGGGCGTGCGGTGGTGCCCGAATGTCCACTGCAGAGGGCTGAAACTGTGGCGAAGCTGGTGCAGATAGAGCAGATAGATGCGCTGGCTGGGCTGGATTCTCAACGGTTGCGCACTGGCAATTGTCTTTCTTTTATTTTGAGAACTCCTTGCAGATACTTTAAGACGGATGATAGTGCTCCAGGCAGCCGTTTTGTCTTGAGCCACCGGACTTGGTACAGCTGTAGCGGTGTCTCTCCCCAAAACATCCTATAAATATTGACTGCTGACTTATTGACTGCTGACTGCTCACCAAAGAGAAGTGGACTGCACATTTGGCTGCCGAGTACTCCTTTGCTTGGGGAGAATGTTGAGGAGTGTATGTAGAACATGTGCAGATTCTGAGATACTATCAGAAAAGATTCTGGAACACTGGAACACCGTTGTTTGAGTCTAAGAAGTTGTCCTACATTACATAATTCTTTGACCAGAGCATTCTTGTTTGGGAAGACCTCCGTGGCAGTGGACAGTAGTTTGAAGATCCAGCTACGCTGTGATGCCACTAGTGAAGCTTCGTAGGCTGACAGTTTTCATCCTTTTTCTGGGCCAACCCATCAGTGACACGTTCCCTCCCCACATCCCATGGAATGAAACACCTCCTTCTTCAACCCGTCCACCCACATCGCAGGTCTTGGAGCGACTCATGCGCCTGGTAGTGAGGCGAAGCGGCGAAGCGAAAGCCGCGGGTCAGGGGGGCACTGGTGCCCCCCTGGCCGCCGGGGGAACCGGGATGGGATGAAAGTTGGGGTGACCATGTGAGTGGATGTGACCTGTGCGGCACGAGGGGTCGGAACGTTGGATTCGAAGTCTCACAACCATTTGAGCAGAAACATCCTTCAGAAGCCCAGTTCATATTGCCGCTACTGTACTAGTGGAATGGCGTTTTCTCATGGAAGGTGCGTCCAAGGATCGTGGGATATGCGCCAGGCTTCTTCGAGCAGGGATCGTTCACGGAGACTTCAATGAGTTTAACCTCATGCTTGACCAGGCCGTGATCACAGCATGACAAAGCTCGTGGATCACACATGCGTTCTTACAGAAACAGATTAAGGAAGTGGGGGTAGTCGGTAAATTGATGTGCAATAGATTAGATCTCAGCCTCAGGGGCTTTGGTTGGGATTTGTGGAGCATCCACCAGGTTTTGTGCACATCAAAGCCGCATGCACGCTTCATATGATTCATCATGTCTTCACAACGTCACCGAGAATGGAGTGCGCAAGTTTGTCCAAAAAAAACATTTCCGCCTTGCCTTAACTTGATTTGTTGCAGCTGCATCTTGGCACCTAAGCGACTCGACTGTCATGGGCTTTGAGATCCAATATTGGTAGCAGAGTTTCAATTTCAGCGCAGATGCATGCAGACCATTTGTTATTGGTGCTAGGGTGCAGGGTTTTGGATTTGGGTTTTAACAGGTCTTAAGGCCAACCGTTTTGGGGTTTAGTCTCTTAGGGTTTTTTATTGTGGGTGTTCATTACATCCTGATGCATCATCATGCAACCTTTGCGATGCTTCACCTTTGTCTTTTGTTTGATTTTGTGTGTGTTTGAATCTAGCAAGAATTTGAATTTGGCCCTCAGATCGGTTGTGAATGGTTCATGACATGATCTACTGACGCAGACTGTGTCAGGTAGCAGATGTGTCTGGTTAAGCTTAACAGCTTAACAGCTTACCCCATGTGTTCCGATGTGGACCCCACACCCATCCAGATCTGACTGGCCAGAGCTGGTCCAGGATGAGAAGATCACTCTCATCGACTTTCCACAGATCGTCTACAACAACCACCCCAACGCCGAGGACGAAGATGCCACGCCGAAAGGTGGCACCCCCCCGCAAATCCACCCCAACACCAGAGGTGGAAGGTCCTGCGGTCGGTTGAATCTTCGAACTCAGCTTAGAAGTTGCGTGGGATCAACAGAAACCATATGACATCCTATGGTTCAAAAGAACAGACTGGGTTCGGTCGCCCCCAAGCTCTTGGTCCTGATTATCTTTTGCCCAGAATGGGTGGTGGGCTCAAAGTTGTGTTTGCTACTGACCCAAGATGTGAAGAACATAAGCTTCGGATTTGTACGTTGTTTCAGTTTCATGTTCACGCAGGTGTCCGTTTTGGAAACATTGTCAGTTCAGGTCTTCTGACAAAAGAGTCTTCACCATGCATCGCTGGCTCGGTTGCCGCCTTTATAAGGTAGTTGTCTGGTTTTGCACGTCATTGGATCATTGAAACACCCTGGGTCCAGGGCCGTCCACAAGCAGCAGACTTTCAGATTCCAAGCTGTCATTCTTAAAGCAAACCAGAGACCACCTTAGTTCGTGCAGTTCTCCCTTGTTTGAGGGACATCTTCGCCCATCCATGATCTCCAGAGGTGAGGGACAATCAGAAGTAACTACCAAGGTCTTAGATGAGTTGCCGATGGGGAGATGGGTACACTCATCAAACCCATCAAAGGGGTTTTCGGGGTGAGTGAGCAACTACCATGGAATGATGACACTCATCAAACCCAGGGTTACTCACCATTTTCACCATCCCTCCATGCTCTGATAACTCGCACTAACTCGGCCGCAGGAGTTCTTCGACCGCGATGTGCGTTCGGTCGATGACCCAGTCAGAGCGTGATTTCGGGGGTGGAAGACCGGGCCATATGCACAGCCCTTGGTGTTTGGGAGGTGGTCACCGGTGGTGGCTCATCACATCAAGCCCAGTCGTAGGTCAAGCGAGTGGTGTGAAGGTTTTGCTGCTGAGTAAGGGTAGGCTTGTCCCTCAAAGCCAGGCAGACCTAGGTGAGGAGAGAGACAAAAGAATGGACACCAGATTTGCACACCCAGACTGGAGCAGTCATTTTATACGCAGTTCACCTCGGCTGGTTTGTGAATGCACATCAAACTACGAAGGACACCCAGCGCCAGTCTGACGCATTTGGAAAGAAGTATCTATGACCGACAGATGTCAGGAACCGGTGTTAGCACATGTGCATATGCTCAGTCCCCTGGCTTGTGAGGTTGCCTTATTTTGATCCCATGAATACTTCCGTCCCCCCAAGCGGCTTACCATGTTGTGGCGGCTCGCCGCAGATCGTGGAGTTCTTCCGGAAGCGGATGAACATCGAAGCAGGGACGCCTGAGCCCGTTCAGTGGATGAGACTGTGTGGTTACAGCCTCTGGAGGGGCCCTCCTGAGCTCCGAATCAGGTCCAAGAGTTTCCCATCTTTGCAGAGGCGCGCGGCTGGGGGGGCGAAGGTGAACACCACTTCTTCCCTGCTTGCATGGCTAGAAGCAATGCAGGCATGCGCAAAGAAGAAAAAACAAGACTTGTTGGGTTCAGTGGACAAGTTAACCACAGTTAGTCAGTGGTTGTCAGGTTCCTTTGACTTGAGGGGACTCCAAAACTGCAGCTTCCACGCAGGCGCTGGAGGATCCCAATGAGACCACCAATGCCCTCAAGGTGCTGGGGAGAGTTGAGGAACGGAGAGATTCTTGGTTGGTGGAAGAAGCTTGTGGCCAGTCCTGTTCCAGACTATATACTTTGTTTCTTTTTGTTGTTTTTCAGGGATTGTAGTATGTTGTAGTGATGTTCTATGAACAATTCTCAACTTGGAGAGTCATCATTCTTTGCCTTTGCCTTTACTGGTCAAACAAACAGGTCATATCAGCTCGAGCAAGTCTAGAAGGAACGACCCCAGCACCCTGTGGGCCCAGGGTGGGTGGGCTACACTGGCCCCGACCTGACCAGACCGGTCCGAGACGAGTCGCACCGGCCGACGTCTCCGTGAGGTGCCCGACTTCAAGGACGACGCTCTGCTGGTGTGGATCCTCCGGCGACCAGGGCGAGGTAAGACATAACGAACACATGGTAAGGGTGTCCAGATTTTTCATTTAAAGCGGTGTTTGGTTTTTGGATTGGTTGCAGGGCAATCCAGCTGCCCCAGATTCTGATCAACATGGTTTGTTACCAGGCAATCACCACGAACAATTTTCCGCACAAGGTCGCTGCTCATGAGCAGAGCCGACAGCGTGGAGACGAGCCTCCAGAGGAGCCGACCAGTTTGTCGCGATGGTGTTTGTGTTAGTAAAAAAAGCCTACTGTCTGTGCTGCTTCTGTGAACAATTGTGAACATCTCAATTTCTATCAATTTCTCATGATAAACCTTAAACTAATCATAACTTGCTGCAAGTTCCGATCCATTCAGACCTTCAATGGACCCAACACGCCCATTGGTGTTTCTGGCGTATGAGCTCGTTGATCCTTTACCAATTAGCCCCCCACAAATGCATGTTGGCTCCAGCAAAATGCCCCAAGACAACACCAAGACTCTTAGACAGAAAGACCAGCAACTAAAAGCAACTGTTTTGTACTGTAGCTGACACATTTGTCAGCTTGTCTTTGCCCACATCACTGAGAACCGCCGAGACGGGGTGTTCCTGGCCCAAGAACAACCGCTTGTACAGGACGACGAGGACGAGGATGAGGTGCCAGCCGAGGCGTGAAACTGGGGGAAGAAGACAAACACACCGAGAAGCCCTGTGGAAAAGGATCCGTGAAAACGGGGGGATTTACGTTTGGCATTTCGCGTTCTGGTTCTTTTGATGAATTGGTGGATTTGAAGTTGATTGTTCCAAGGCAAAAGACTCCATGACGAGCTTAGGATTGGTGAGAAATGTATCCTAAAGCTCTGGCCCTCGAAGTCACTGGGGCGTGGGTTGCTTGATACACGTGCTGAGAAAGGTGGAACGTGTCAGCAATAAAATGCAAGAAAAACTATATTCGGATATCAAAGGATACAAAGGGGAATAGATGAGTGAGTGCTTCCCTTTGCATTATCCGGATTCAAAGAACTTTGGGACCCTCAGACCAAGATGGGCAGTGATGACAGGTCAAGATATTTAGCATCATTTTTGTTCGTCCTTGGCGGAGGTAATACACTTCCATACAACATGCGTTAGACTGGTCCATCTTTTTGAAAGGCCCTCAATGTCTTTCAAGCGCGTTTCCAAAGGCGAGATTCTTCTCCCGCCGTTCTTTCCAGCACAAAACATCAACCTCTGAGTTTCTGGGTGTCATAGACTGAAGCGCCATGTCCAATCCTGAACAAGAATGAACGCCTGCATAGAAACCTCAGGCAACACAGTGTGTTGATGTTTTTCGTGCAAAGATGCCCAGAGACGTTGGATTGAGAGAGAGAGAGAGAGTTAGTTGTGGTGGTCAATGGGTATCGACTCGCTTTTCCTGGTCCACCTGGGACCGCCCCTGTCGGCTGTCGTGAGACCGACCGACCCTGGGCCACACATCTCAGCATCTCTGGTGGACAGGAAGCTGGAAAGGAGCCCTTTCAGCCTCCTCCCAGAACAGAGGATACGGAGGCGATGACCAAGATATGGCAGATATGTGCGATGAGACTGATTGCATTTGCTTCACGCAACAAATGAGCCACCAGGGTCACCACAATAACCTTGTGCTTAGCATTGGAGCTACAACCTAAACCTCTTGGTTCGAGCTTGGAAGGGGACTCTACACTGCGGTTAGCAGCAGACAGGACTGTTCATGAGCCACACCGCACCGTGCTAGCTCTTGTTATGACTAGCCTCAACAGGTCATGCACACCTGCTTTTAGTGAAGTGGAAAACAGGTTTCATAGGTTCTGTTGATTTAAGCGATCATGATTTCTCGCGGGATCGCCAGAGCCTTTGAGAACCACAGGATTCAGGATGTTGGATTTGACAGATAACAGAACCCACGGAAGAGACCTGAAGAGATAGACATACTAGGCGTCCTTGCTCCTAGTAGTAAGGCCAAGATCCTAAGGTCCAAAGCTCGGTTTGTAGGATACTTCTCTCGACGTCGGTGACGTCGGTGACTTTCATGTGTTTCACCGGTGTCTTTCTGCTGCGCCTTGATGCGCCATGTATTGAAGACTTTCCACCAATAGACTCAGGATTATAGATGGATATAGGACATGCTCTTCAAAAGGATTTGAGAGATTCTAGTGATTCTGGGCTCTAGATCAATTAGTTTGTACATCTCGCTGGATGTCCATTCTGGCCGACCATATAGCTCTTCGAGACCGGGTACCACGGATTCTTTTTGGAGCGACTGAGGGCTTCCAAGGGCTTCTCAACGAGGGTGGGCGAGAAGCACTCAAAGAGGACTGTGGATGGATCTGGCAACTTGGGAGGGAAACACCTGTTTTCAGTTAGAACGCACAGACACACTCGCTTTTCCCTTTGGTTTGTTCAGACAGAATGCCCGGGTGGAACTGCCCTCATCTGTATCCCCCGGCCTCGCAGGAGCAGAAGCCGAGCCCAAATTCTCTGAAGCGAGCCCGTTGTTTAATGTTGTTTATACATATCCTTTCATGCTTTTTCAGTCTTCAGGTTCTCATACATCCAGAGAATCCAGAACTCTGGCCAGATTCTAGACATGCATTTAGTGGCGGAAGGTTTGCTCTCTGGCTAGCTAGCTCTTCCTTCTTGAAACATGTTTTTCAACGTCCAGAAGTTGGCCTCCTGTGATGGTCGGTTCAGTCCACGAAAAAGCCGGTTGGACAGGACTGCCAGCTGGATGAGGTGCGAGTCGAGGGAGGGGAGTCAGAGCTGGATGAGGTAGCTCTGAAGTCCGATCTGAGGGGACCGGTGTGGTGGTAGACGTCCTGAAGATTCCTCAAGGCGAAGAAAGGCGTCCCTTTCCACTCAAAAGGTGCCAAGGGTTGACTCACGTTGCAAGTGGCCAGTAGGATCCAATAGGTCAAGATGTGTAACAATACATGTCGACATGGTTCAGTGTTTGCCATACTTGGGATGAGCCGACATCCTGTGTGAAGCCCTGCCCCTTCAGAGTGCCTTTTCCGGCAGAGGTCCTTCAGAGTGGCTCAGCTGCAGGAGAGGGTAGTGGCAGACTCCACCTTCAGATTAGTGCCTGAGTATGCTTGCCGAGT